TTGTAAGACTAGTGGTGACCGAAGCACCTCCCAAAGTCTGTATATATGTCAGAGTGGAGCACTCGCTTCCAATTGAAGTTCACAACTACATCCACGAGCAACTAACATAAAATCAATATTGGGTACGTAATAAGACACGTGCTAGTGTGCTCCTAATGCCTTCTTAGTTTGTCTTTGAGTTGCTCCTTCAGCAATTCAAACATACAAACGAGGGAGCATGTTGGTCATTGCGCTCTCATTAAGTGCTGTCTTGCTATTGTAACGAGTCTTATCTGGTTTGCTCACCATTCTTCATTCTGATTTATTCTGCAATTTTATGATAGTTGATTGGTGCTTCGTTTTCGTTTACGTCTTATCCCCGACTCTGATACCACCAAGTAAACATGAAGAGATGCATCTCCAAGTTAGCATTTGTAAGTGTTTTACATTCAGGTTCTGTTCGCCGTTGTGTTTATATTACTTAAATGAAGAAAAAAATAATGGCTCCAATAATGCTGTAAAAGCGTTCGTCAAATCCTATGGTGACATGGTGTTATGGTTTCTCTGTTTCTTTCAAATGTCGGTAATCAATAAAAATATTTGGGATCAGTAACTTCATAATTGTGTGCGTCTGTAGCTCGTCCTGCATGAATAAATAGACTGGTTTTCAATCATTAACTTGTTTTTAGGCGACTTGCTTTTTATTTCAGTCTAGGCTGATCTACAGTAAGTCAAGTAGCAGACATAGTTAATAATTTCGACTTCACAGCGTTCAAAAGTAAAAACTTCATGTAATGATTATTTGTTAAAAAATCATTTTTTATTATTATAAGTTTATTTGCGATTTTTTTCCATTTAGTCGCAAAAAAGTTTGAATTTGCCTCTAAATTATAGTCCAATAAGGCAACTGGTTAGACTATGCAATCTTTGACACCGTCTAATGTTGGCCTTGTAATCCAAACCAGCTCTCCAATGCGGAACACACACGTATTTTAATTGATGGCGATGTATTTTGTGAGCTCAATTGATAATGTGGGAGCTCGCCCGGCTACCGCTGCCTCAAACATTCTGCCTTGAATGCTTCCCTTGTTCCTTCATCTGTCTCGACTGGGCCTATTCATTTTGCTCACTGTCATTTACTATACAATTTTATGACCATCTTTGTAGCCGGCTGTAATCAGTAAGCCTATTTCTTTTTAAAACTTCAAGCAAATTTTGTCTGCATCCTATTAGCATTTGCTTGCATATGAAAAAAAAAATATAACTCAGTACTCACAGTAGTGAGTGACAGAGAGCGCATTTTCTCGTCGACGAAAACGTGAAGTCACGGACGGACAGGCGGACGGACGGACGGACATGGCGAGCACAATAGCGCATTTTTTCCATAAATGAGAAAATGTGCTAAAAAGGTTTGACATCAAATTTTGTTCCACGATATGTAAAGGTGATTCTTAAATTACGTGGACCATAAATAGGGGTACTCTTATTCTTAACTTGTATTTCTTTCTGAACTTTCCTACTGACAGATTTGTGTGAATGCGCAGTAAATCGTCATTGATTTTTGGCATGTTTTCATCAGTGAAGCATTTCTCCCCGCATCGCGTCTGCTCTCCGAGATCTGACAGGATCAGAGGGTGAAAGTTTCTTTCTCGACGACCCTCAGTTTCCGCTGCTAAGCTATTTACACGAAGAGAACCTTTTTACCGCATTTTCTCATTTATGGAAAAAAGGCGCTCTTGTGCTCGTCATGTCCGTCCGTCCGTCTGTCCGTCCGTGACTTCACGTTTTCGTCGACGAGAAAATGCGCTCTCTGTCACTCACAGCAGTGAGTACTGAGTTATATTTTTTCTGTCATATCTAGTGCCGGCCAACACTACACTTTTGACCAACTCCAACGCGTGAACCATTTTTAATGGTGCACAGGATAATGTTATATATATTTGAGGCGATATAAAAACTTTAAAAATTGTACAATTGAAGTTATAACTTTTTACGTGGGGTCCCGCAAATTTCTATTGAGATTAATACCCATCTCTCTGACATTATTTCATTAATCAATTTGTTTCCTTTGATCTCACTGCAATATTTTATGAATTCGATAAATCTTAATGACGGTAATGAAGTTTGTCCATGCGTCCATTTTCATGTTTCTTTTTAAAAAATGCGGTTCAATTCTTCCTACCACGAATCTTAACATATCGTGAATTTAAAGCACAATAAAAAATTACAATGACAGAAGGTGACACCATATGTATAAGTCATCTTAGTGTAACAATATTTCTAAAACAACGTGCGTTCTGCCGCGTTTACCTCTGACTCATATTAAAAAAGGAAGATATCTCCGCGGCGAGGTCCCTGTCAATGTGAAGCGCCTGAGATTGAATTTTTACTAATAAAGGCTATCATATATTTTTTAACCGCGGGGCATCACCCAATTAAGGACGCGTCATCAGTGCGGTGCCTTGCTAGGAGACTTGCGTGCTTGTGCAGGATCAATCCTAGTCCCACAGGATCTCTCCCGCAACTTACTTGCCTTCACAGCATTTATCAAACGAAAAATAACAAACAATCATCATGCTGGCATTTTTTTATTACGAGTGAATGTTTCAACTGTGCTGATTAATTGTTTTACGTCCTTCCAAGTGACTCTTTGAAATCTTAAACTTTAATTCATGAAAATTTATTTGGTTTCCTCGTGCTTTTCTGGGACAGCATTCGTCGAGCAGCTTTTGTGTGGGATGAAACCAGTTTATAAGAATTCTATAATTAAGTTTCCTTGATTGAATGATAATTCAGAAGAAAATAAACCACAAACAAAATAAAATAATAACGGTACCTCTTTATTAACAAACATTTTTATTTCATGCGATTAGTTGTAAACTAACTATTTCTTTTAATTACCTTCATCTCAATATTTACTGAAATGATTTTACCAGTCTTAAGTCCGTCGGTCCATTGTTTCAGACTGAACTCCATACCAGGCAACGCTATTGTTAGTGCACTATTTACTGCCGTCGATCCCCGCTGTATATGTAATACCCGCGTACAGTGAACGGTCTTTGCGAAGAGTATGCATTTATTAAAAAGACCTTCATGGATACATTCCTGAATGTACCGCTGATCTTATTCTTTGCTGGACGGACGTTGCTGTCTGCATCACTTTTTTCTGTCCTCTGGTATATTGTATAACGTATATTATCAAGAAAGTTCTCCCACTTAGGAATTGTCTACGCAATTGACGATTTTTGCGCCATTTGCTTGCTGATTCAATGCAATCAACCTGAAATTCAGCCCAATATATCCCCGTGCATGCATTTAAAACTATCGCTTGTTCAATTTATTCTTCACATATACTCTGATGCTTTGCCTAAAGCTCCACACTCTCCAAAGTTGCCGCAATGATCCTTTCTAAATAAATTCAAATAAACAAAAAATTCTAATTTTATCACGTGCTCTTCCCAAGTAAAGGATATTTTTAGTCCATTTAGAAACTTATTGCAACCACTTCTCCTAAAATTAATTGTTAAAAATTTCATTGGGCTTATAATTATATTATTATGTTTCTCAGGATTAGAGTTATTGATTTGTCAATTAAGAAATGAGTTTAGCATGCTTTTTTTTGTTCGTGCAAATCCGTGGGTAGAATCTTCCAGTTTGAATAAATGCATTGAATTATTCTTTGTATAACGCAACGCAGATACTGCATTGTTGATTATTATAATCCAGCGGTAAGCCATGCTGATTTCGCTGGTCAATTTTATCGCCAATAATCTTATTTCAATCCACTGTACAAACTGTTGATCCCTAATATTGAATGTCTGCATTTCTTGCTTCAGTCTTAGCACTGGTGTCCTATCTGGGACACCAGTGTTATATAACAGTCTCGGTGCTGGTATTTTGACGGCTCGTTACGACTACCCTGAGCTGCATGTTCACCACCTCGGTGCATTTACATATACGAGAACTTTATGCAAATGCGTGATGAGCGTGTTGCTGGGTAGCCACCTATAATGACCACCCTTCTTGAAACTGCCGCTCAGGCCTTGCAAAAAACATAGCTGCAGAACGAGGCTGATTTAATGCCCCAGTCGAGAAGTGTTTCTCATAAATAATAGAATAATATCTAGCGGCCACCTTTACCTGATAATTGATTCCTATGAATAATATTATATTTCTAATTTGGGCACATATGCCAGGAGGTTGATTCACAGGATTTATATAATGAGTCAGCTTTATAAAGGGTGGCTTTATATAAATGAGTCATAATGAGTCAGCTTTATGAGTCAGCTTTATATGAGTCAACTTTATATAAAGGTGGCAGCAGCCACCTTTAGCAGTTGCTTGATTTCTTGGAATATTTGAATTATTCGAGAGGGCGTTTCAGCCAGTGTCTCTGCTATTTGAACTGCATGAATAATTCATTGATATCGAGTGGGGGTTCCTACCCACTGAAGTGGGTTTGCAATGCACTTCAAGTTATGTTAAGAAAATTTCTCGGTGTCAGCGATTCAAGGGCGATGGGTGCTTGATTTTTAGGCTTAACATCACTGCAGGTATAGTGCGCAATTAAGGGCGCTGGCGAAGTGTCCGCATTTTAAAGCGTGCAATCACCCTTAAACAGCTAGCTGTCCTACCCATCTTTTATAGAAATTCGCATGCGTTCCATAAAACGATATTGCGTTTCAATCGCTATGCCGCCCTTCCATGTTGAATCTTAGAAATAAGTTGGCCGTTAATTTACTATCAACATCATATTTCCACTCCCACGAGGCACGCCTCTTAGTCTCGCCAACTACGAGGCAATTCAAACATATTTTTCGCAACCAGTTTGCCGTTGCTATTGAGGATAACACATTCCCAAAAATTTCTGGAATGCCTCCTTTTGTGTTTAAATAAAACGAATAGGTTATGTACAACTTTTTACTCGCGTGTTAGTGTATGTGGTAATTTTTATGCATCATCTGAAAGGTTCTTATGATATTGCTTATGTTTACTGTTTTCTGACTTTCTGTGCAGGATGTGTCCATGTTGTCTGGGCTTATAGAGGAAAGTAAAGTTTTCAGTTACTCCTTATCGTGTCCGAGACATTTTAGGAACATGTCTTAGGAATATAACGCTTAATAATTAGACTTCTTTACTCCGAAGTAGGACAAGGAGTTTCTTTTCTACGTAGAAATGTCCCAATATTAATTCTGAACTTTCGTATAAATGCAATTGCGTTTAGTTAAGAATGAGTGAACACTCAAGTGCTAGAGACCACTGTACAAAATTTGGGTGTGTTACTTCAAAAATGATGTAGTGAACTATAATCAATAAAATAAGAATTAGCAATTATTAGTATTAGGGAAGAAGGAAAGCACAAGTGCAGTGAACTGTAAAACGAGCGTAAAAACCGTTAACATGCTGGTGACAAAGTCATCCGCGTGTGTGGCAGTGCTGACGCTGTCAGTTTTCTTCACCGCCGTTAAAAGTCAAAGTATCGCTGCTCCAGCCGGCTCCAGGGTCCCCGCCCCCCGCGGGGAACTGGGGCGCAGACCAAGCGATCCTCAGGAGGTTACTGCCGTGGGGGTGCCGTGCCCTTCCAAGTGCCTGTGTTTCAGGACCACCGTGCGCTGCATGTTCGTCCAGCTCACGGCCATCCCTGTCGTGTCGCCCGAGACTACCATATTGTGAGTACCTGTTGAAAACACTGCCATCCCTGTCGTGTCGCCCGAGACTACCATATTGAGAGTACCTGTTAAAAAACACTGCCATCCCTGTCGTGTCGCCCGAGACTACCATATTGAGAGTACCTGTTAAAAAACACTGCCATCCCTGTCGTGTCGCCCGAGACTACCATATTGAGAGTACCTGTTAAAAAACACTGCCATCCCTGTCGTGTCGCCCGAGACTACCATATTGAGAGTACCTTTGGAGTACCTACCATATTGGACGCCTTTGACTCCATAGTCTAAGTGTTTTTAAAATAAACTTTAGCTTACGATTTTTCGTCCTATTACCAAAGTAGATTTACGGATTCTCGTCTTATCAAACAATTTTGAATTTTGTACCATTAGCTAACGAGGAATTTTATCACCACTAAAATTCTTAATATAAGAACGTTTTTGTACTGTATCTTTTTTTTAGTTCATAGTCGCTAGGAGGTTTTAAAGCGCCAAGTGGCTAATTGAGGCCATTTAAATGTCATGTTCGAAGCCTATTTATTTTATGGTCGAACATAGAAGTACAAATACATTTTCTGTTCTCTTACTAGTGAGTATGTCCAATTTCATGATATATTTTGTTATCATTTATAATTGAAGTCGCACATTGAAATTCATGAACTTGCCGTGCTATTTAAATGTACTAAAAATAATTGTAGTTTCTACTGTTGCAAATTGAATACATATGTCAACGCAACAAAGAACTTGCTAAATGCACAATTTTACGATATTTACGATGTACCAATATTTACGATATTTTTCGAATAAATTGTACTTTTCCCTCTAAACTTGGCAACGCCACTTTGTATACATTATTATGTTGCTCATCTTACTTAGAGAGGTATTGCTGATGCCGAGATTTTGTGAAGCAAATGTTATGTATAAATTTTCGTCACTAGTCTATCAGTTATATTCAAAACTGATAATTTCCTAAACTCCCGTGTGGGTTATGTATATACATTGAATGATATGCAGATATGGTGAGGGTAGCAGATGCACGATAATCGGAAATGATATATGATGTGATTTACACTGAGTAATGTACAGATTGTTGGTGGGAGGCAGAGACATGTTAACCGAACATCAAACACAGAGAGAAAGGAGAGTCATTTGGATGTATATTTCCAGTTTCTGTATTTAACATCACTTGTTTCGGAAGGCTTAACGCTTTTTGCTTCGTGTCTTGTGGTTATCCGCCAAGTAGCTGAATGATCGAATCGTTTCCGCTTGACTTGACGATGTGGGTTTTAATTATAAAAAAATAAAATGATTGAGGTTTATTAATATATGAAACGTTTAGTCGTATTTTGCTTTAAAATTTTCTTACATTTTCACTTCTTGGAAAGTGTAACGTAGCGCTTTACTCTATATTCACACGTGGAACTAAAACAGATATTCACAGAGACCAAACTTTTCTCCGCGACGAATTTTCAACAACCCAACCCAGTGCAATAATGAAGATGAAGATCAGACACAAATGGATGAAGTGTGAAGTGTGAAGGACGTTCTTCAAAAGAGATCCTGCAGTTTGAGGAGCAGCACATGCCCCACCAGATAGATGCCCATATCTCCTCAGATGCCCCGACTCAATACCAGCATGCCCATCTTCTGATACCAGCTCTTCGATTGTGATTGCCACGGGTCACGTCTCATGACTTTATTACTGCCTAAAATCAGTTTCAATGTCTTCTAAAACTTGAAATTATGTCCAGTTTCAATATTCTTTTGAGTTATTGTGGAGTTTGGTCAACATGAGTGATTATTAATTTCGAAAAAAATTCAAATATGTTTCACTGATCTCAAATTCGCCAGAGCTTGTTTAGCATTTCTCGCAATAGAAATTACATGAACTGCCCATCAATGATGGATACTCCCAAATTTAATTCAGTCTGTACTTCCATTTTTGTGTTCCATGAATGTAATAACCTATCGTGTTTGTGCTCTTTTCTTGTGTCCAGTCCCAATTTTGTTAACAAAGTGTCGAATACTATAGCACGTATTGGTTATACTATACTATGAACGCTATGTTATACTATGAACTCTTTACTAATTTTACGTGCCCACCAGCATACCCTGGTGCCGATATAGACGCAGCTCTCTAGACAGATTTTTTATACATCATACGTCTTTGATGGAGAGGCCGCGTACGACAGACGACCTTCCCCAATGTGAGTTATTGGTCTCGACGTAACGAATATGCGCTGACGCTGTGCCGGCGCCAGCAACAAAGCCGCTACTATTGTACCGACGCGAATGGGGTTCTGCCTCGCCACGGGACGCGTCTAGCTTGTAGATTTCCATCTTTCTGTGCAAGGAGAATGCTCGTGCTATCACACTTAGATAATGATAATTCAAATTAGCTGTTCATCGTCTTTTCTCATTGTGTTTTGTGCGAATAAGTTGTTAGCTGATCAATCGTCTATGAGACTGTTTTTTATAAATTTTCGTTCAATGAACCTGGCAACAACTTTCTCCGGCACTGTTTGGACAGATTTTTATTATATCGAATTTGAAATTATTGTATGAAACCTTAGGAATCGCATTTTTCTGTATGCTCATTATTTTAAATTCGGGTCTGCTGGTTGTCCCACGGCGGTATTTTCATAAATTTACCTGCGTGTCGAATCTCTCCGCCCCTACTTTTATCCAGCGAGCTTCGCGTCCATTTTCGCAAAAAGTCAGACTCAGCTAGAGTTAGTCTTCAGATGTCACACTCACGCCTGACTCAGCTAGTGTGAGTCTTCAAGTGTCACACTCACGCCAGACTCAGCTAGAGTGAGTCTTCCAGTGTCACACTCACGCCAGACTCAGCTAGAGTGAGTCTTCAAGTGTCACACTCACGCAAGACTCAGCTAGAGCGAGTCTTCAAGTGTCACACTCACGCCAGACTCAGCTAGAGTGGAACTTCGAGTATCATGATCATGACAATGCGTATCCTGACAACGCCCTCAATATCAATTTATTAACATCGTTGCTGATATGGAGGAACTTTGCTGTGGCTATGAAACCTGCCGAACTAAAATGTTGCTGTTGCGGGAGATTTGCCGCCAAACGAATTATCTATGGCAGGTTTATATTCAAAGTTCCGTTTCCTGTTTTCTGAGGTAAGCCTTTGAATGATAATCGTTGCATTAATACATTCTTAATTCTACATAGTATTTTTTCTATTTTAGCTGCAGTATATATAATGTATCTGTAGCTACATTGTAATTTACTTTGTTCTTCGACCTGAAAAAGGGGGTCGTATTTTGTTCAGCTTTGGTTGACCAACGAAATAATTCAATGCTGCTTCAGACACGCCCGTCCTTAAATAATACTGCCGGACTGCACGCCTTGCTAATGAGCTCGGCAACGACCTCGTCCTAGCATCCAGGCAGCCCCAGCATCAAATTTTAAATATTGATAGCAATCTCTGTAGTGCCTCCCGTATCTTAATTTCTCCGAATCCGCTTTTTACGACAAATGTGCGTTCCTTGTTTACAATTAATGAATTATTGATTTTTATTAATCAGCAAATAATAATTAATGCACTGCACCCCCGTGTGTAGATTGGTGCGCTGGTGTGGCGTGTTTGACACGCTCGCCCTTCGTCGTATTTCACCCGCCAATCGCTGGGGCTCACGATCGTCGTGCGGGTAGACGCGATGTCGTAAGATTGTACTGATTTACCGCCTGCCTACTACGCCGAAACTGCGTCCTTAGCCAAATTAACCTTCGAATTCTGGTATTTATTGACAATAAATTTACGCACAATACTTCACGAATTAACCGGCAATGAATTGCGCCTTAGGAACAATTGTAGTTTCCCATGTTGCATGTGAATCTTATAGAACCGGTTTATGTAAAACTATTGAACGGAATTGCTTAAATTTTGCATTTTTTCGCAGTTAGGAAAGAAAGGAGAATCTACTGTACAACTATATATTCCTAAAGTCAAGAAATTTCGTTCTACATTCCCTCAGTTTTGTATTATTTCTTGTCATTTCCGTAAAACCTTATTGAATTTATACGAAATTTTTGCTTCAGATTGAGCTCACATATTGCCGTATAAAAAAAGAAAAAACGAGTGCAAGGACAGAACAATTCTGACCTGTGAACACTAAGCATTATTTGCACATCTTTCTTGTCTTGTATCGGTTGTTTCTTCCGGCCTGCTTGTCCACAATTGGCCGCATACACTCAGAAAACGACGAGGGTGCAGGAAGCTTGGCAGGCTGCGCAAGGGGGCACCACGCCCGACTTGATCAAACATGCGCGAAACAAATAAAAACTTGGCCACTCGTAACGACATGGCCGGTCGCCTGCCATCAAGTGCATTTGCCGTTTGTACTCGTCGCTTATTATCTTCCTCTATTAAGTATTAATTAGTATAGGAATTGGCAGAATTTGTTCCTTTATACGGTTTCAATAAAGACCAGAGAATTTGTTTTATTGACGATTTTATTATTAGTTTAAAACTAATAAGTTTTAATAAACTAATAAGAAAATCGTCAATAAAACAAATTCTCTGGTCTTTAATGAAACCTGATATTAATTATGTATTTACAACTGATTAGATTCGCTTGGAAACTTCTGCACGTTATATTTTCAATTAACGAATCAATAATATTTGTGGTTTACGAACTTAATTGAGGCAATTATATTCACTGAAGATTTATCTTTAAAGCAAATACCGTATCTCTGAAAAAATGACATGTAAATATTCTGGTGTATAAGCTGTATGGCCGTATGGTGTATAATCGTATGGTGTATAAGTTGTATGGCCGTAGGTATGGCGTATAATCGTATTATGGTGCATAAGCTTTATGGCCGTATGGTGTATAATCGTTTGGTGTATAAACTGTATATGGCCGTATGGTGTATAATTATCTGGTGTATAAGCTGTATGGCCGTATGGTGTATAATAGTCTGGTGTATAAGCTGTATGGCCGTATGGTGTATAATAGTCTGGTGTATAAGCTGTGAGT